CAAGAGCTGTGCTCATCTTAGCACAAGAGTTTAAAGACACTGCTGCATTCCCTTTCTTAAACAATTCAGTTTTGGATGCATGGCAGGAAGGTAACACAACATGAGTATGCAATGTAATAAATACACAGAGAATAAATCTTTCTTGTTCTTTTTCCTCTCTTATCACCCCTTTTTTGGTCCTTCCGTGTCTGAGTCAGTCTATCTTCATAAACCACTGCTTTAATTTGTTCTAATTTTTTTTCTTTCCTTTTACTTTAATCTTCTTTTCTTGGAAACCAATGTAAGCCTGGTGAGGACCTGCTGTTGGGTACAATAAATAAAGTATAGGTATATTTTTCTTCTGCCTTGGGGAAATATCTTGTCAAAACGTTTAGAATATTTTCTCAGAGATTGGTTAGAATTCCATGGACAAATATTACTGAAACCTTGATTTTTATTCCCAGCATGTGCTGTTCAGCAAATACCACTCTCATACAACTTCTAGCAAAGATGTTGCAGCTGCGGTTTTCTTTTCTGCCTTTTCCTGTCTTTGTGAAAATAAATCATCACCACTCTGTGGCAGTAAAACAGTGAGGTAACCATTCCCATCTTCAGTGTTTCTTATCATTGTCAAAATAAATACTCACATCTGTGAAACTCAAGTGTGAAATGATGTTTTCCCTTTTTGAAACCAGCAAATACTAACAACAGAAAGCTGTCACCTGAAAAAAAACCAAACAATTAAAGTGAAATTTATGCTAAAAATTCTGTATCACTCAGAAAAACAGAGCTCCCATCCCTGAAAATTCAGTCTGCAACTTTACAAAGGAGGTTACGGAGGTTATGAGGTTATGATAAAAGTTACTTCGATATTCGTGTCACTGAGTTGCTATGATAGATAGAGCCAAATAACACGTTAGCTCCCTAAAAGTGCTAAACACAGAACCAAACAAAAAATAAATCTAACAGTTGCTACCGTGCACTGCCCATTGAAAACATATTAGAATTGTTTGGGTTTCTGCATAAAGATTTACTGGAAGGACTGCCCTGAGATCTAAGTGTACTGAGAAAGAAAACACCTGGAGGGAGGAGATCTGGCTCCAGTAGGAGGACTTCAGGACACTGATGACACAAAGCTCCGTAGAAGCTTGTGGTCTAGCAGTGAGGACTACAGAGATGTTCTAAGTTGATCTCTGGGGCTGGTCTAAACAAAAGTAGTAAGATCTGAGCAATTAATGTAGAAAACAAGGCTGTATACACTGGTCCGATTGCATGATTCATGATACCTGATGCTGCAAGTGCTTCATACTCAGATTCTTACACCATTACAGCAAATAAGGTTCTGCAGATCTTCTGCACAAAGATCTATTTAAATGTTCTCCATCGTAAATGCCTTGAGGAAAGGCTTGTTTTGCTTGTATATTGCCACACACAAGAGCTACTTAATCCTGTTTGATGTCTCTGAGCACTGCTGCAGTAGAGCTATCCAAGAATAATTGATACATGCTGATTAATTGCTTCTTACATTCATTAAGACAAATTAAATCAAGTTCCATCATACGCTCAGTCAAATAAAACCTGAAATAATACCTTGAGCTCTTCCATTTTCACACACATCAAAGAAAAGCCTGAGAACACCATTAAGGCTATGCTGCTTGATCAGACAACTGGCAAAGAAGCAGGACTGCCTGATCTAGGCCAAAACAGAGCTCTTTTATTGAAATATCTTGACTCAATACTGTAAAGAACAAAATGCTGCCATAGATGTGGCAAGAACAAAGATGGTTTACCAGCTGTTTTGTTTTGGTTTGTGGTTGTTTTTTTCCTTTCAGAGAGACGTGTCTTCTCCCTGTTTGAGATTTGACAACCTGTTGTCTACCAACCCCTAAAGCTGCCCTGAACTCCTAGTCCACAGTTCGCTCCTAGTCCTGCAGCCCACAGGTATCTTCTCTGCTACCACCATCCCAGGTCTTTGTAACTCATCAGACAGCAAGGCCAGAAACATGCCAAGCAGGCACTACTGATTTTTGATAATCCATTGTAAACTGTGTGTTCTCTTTGGTAGAAGTTAGCCACAAGTCCCCAGACACAGCTGACACAAGCTGCACTAGGGACAGAACCTGTAAGCAGGGGTAACTAGGAGTTGGCAGCATCGACACATTGGCCATGGTTTTTGCCTTGTTAAGCATTCAGAGCTCCAGATACCCCACAGACTTCCCTTCGTGAACATTTAGCCCAGTTCAAAGAAAGAGAAAGCCAAGGACTGAGCCTGGCCAAGACCCTGGAATGGTACCTGAAGCTGGATGGGAATTGCAGGCCTGCTGTGTTCAGCAGCAGCTGTGAGTCCTCAAACAGAAAAAACCCTAATGGAAATTACCACCTGTATTTCACACATCCTGTGGTATCACTAGTAGAATGGTATTTGTGCTTTTTGTAACAGTGCTACATAGTGAATGTGTATTTGACTACCGGTCTACTACAATTCCTCAGCCTTTTTACATGTTAGGGGATATCTCTTGACATGGCAGCTTGGGGCTTTATTTCACTTTTTGTTTAGCTAACACGGGAAAGAGAAGATCTTTCAATAACGAGAACGGATTGATTGATTGATTTTTTTAATCACAGTATTCAGATGGGGCGCCTTTGTTTTAGCTGGTAACACTTCAGATGAGCAAGGTTACTGCTCCACCTGGTGGGTACAAGAGGGGGCTCTGAGGAGAGCGGTGTGCCTCGGCCGGCTCTGCTTCGGCTGCCCAGAGTGCCAAAGGCCCTGGTTTAATCTCCCTCAGAGCCAAGTCTGATCTTCTTCGGGGACAGGTTTGGTCTCCGTCAGAGCTCCGGCTGAGATCTGACAAATTCCGCACACAGACTTTCTGCCGGGTCATCGCAGCCGTGGTGGAGCTCCTCCGACCGAGGAGTCCCCGCGATGGTGTGAAACGGCCTCTTCATTTGCCGCTGCCGTTTTGTAAATGCAGCGGCCGGACATCGCCGGGCTGACACCCGTCCTGCCGGCCGCAGAACCCTGCCCGCCCGGGACGGGAGGGGCGTGGACTACAAGTCCCAGGCTGCCACGGCAGCGGGGAGGCGGTGCCGGGTACTGCGCCGTGCAGTGCCGGGCTGCGGCCCGCCCCGTCGCTGAGTACAGCATGGTCAGTTTCGCCGACCTGAACCTGCCCCAGGGGCTGGACAAGAAATCCCTACAGAGCCTGCTGGAAGCCGCAGCGCACCGTGAGTCACTGCCCGGGAGCGGGGAGGTCGGCGGGGCTGGCTCGGGGCCGGTGGGCCTGACCTGGTGAGGGCTGGGCCTGGCCAGGAGGGCAGCAAGAGGCGAGCGGCAGCCCAAGCGGGCCGATGTGAGCGCAGCGGGAGTCTCCAGGCTGAGTTTTCCCTCCCTGTAGGCTTAACCTCGCCGTCTGGCCTCCCCTTTCTCCTCTCTGCTCTACCTGTTCAGCTGGGGTTTCTGTAAGTGAAGCAACCAGTACTGAGATCTGCCTAGCGCTCAGTAGCAAGGAGAGCTCGTGTGGTGCCTCGCAGGCTCTGTCTCTGCCTGTTTATCCCGGTGTAACAGTTGAGGTTTTTCCCTGCGTGGATACATTTTTCCCCCTGTACTTTCTTATGGCCTAAACCTTTTTTTTTCTGCAGAGCCAGGTGCTGCCTGTCCAGCGTTTGGGGGTGGTTTGCCTTTGGCAAGTGTGCAGTCTTCCCCTGATCCCTGCCTAGTGAGACCTTTTCGTCAGTTTTATCAGGATCATTTTGAATGCTCACCTTGCCTCCTGTAGCTGTATCTCTCCCAGCTCTGTGTTGTCTGCAGTTTTAACAACTATCCTGAATGTCCTGAACCATTTTCCCTAAAGAAAGTTATCAACAGGACTGAACTAAGGCACAATTTTTGGGAACCCCAACCCTGTTATTAATTTTCATAAAGTTCTGACATTGAGTAAGTGTTGTCAGGGCTGGGGTGTGTTAAAGGCAAACAGTTTTTTTCTTATCTTGAGGCACTTTTTGGGTGAATTAATCTCCAGAAGAGATTATGAACGGTAAATACGCATGTGATTGTTAATTTTGATACATTTAAGTGATGAGTGTTTAGCGGGTTTCTGTTTGAATTTTTTTCCATTAGTTCTCTAGACCAAATATTCTTACTGTGTGTTTACTTTTTCAGTGGGATATTCTGCAGTTGCTCTTAATCATGTCATCGATTTTAAAGAAAAGAAACAGGTAATCTTTATTGGGGTTATTTGTTCGTAGTGTGTTTTCTCTTGTAAATCTACAGGCCTTATTACATGCGTTATCTGCAGAATGCACATCTAGACACAAGTACAAATGTGTGCACTTGTGTCAGAACTCCCGTTTTATGATTCTGTATGATTGCTCTGGAGTTAACATTTAAGGTTGTCCGTGTATTGTCCCTGGGAAATAGTTTTGTTAGCATGGCAGATTTCTTTTGAGGATTGGAACACAGATTTTGTTTACGTTGTAAACTTAATCCATAACTTTTTTTTTAGAGAACTTTGTTTTGTTCTCTTTTAAGGAAATTGCCAAGCCAGTGTCTCCTTCAGAGTTGTTTCCATCTTTGCCTATTGTACAGGTATGTCTAGTTACATTGTGTCTATGTGTTATTATTCTGAGTTACGTTTTTTACCTTGGTGTTTGTAGATGTGATTTTGAGTATTACATGTCTATCAAAAAAGAGAAGTTTGTCCGTTGCTTGATTGTTAGAACTCCCACCACTGGAAGAACAATAGAGTCACATTAGAGTAGGGTCTGTTCGTTATTTTAGAAATTACTAAAGAAATGGCTTCATATTAATTTTGAATCTTACTGTAGTTGAATAATTGCAGTATAATTCTTGAAATGTGAGTTTTGGAAATAACTTCCTAATTTTGATGGAGCAAGATTTGGATATAATGAACCAAGCCTGTATTTCAAATCACTGACAAATGTTCATTCAGGAACTGCTTTTGTTTGCAGTTGTGGCCTGCCTGGGGAACTATAGCAGTATTAAAACATACTGAGTTTTTCAGCATGGTTGGTTGGTGGGTCTCGTTCTGTTGTTCTTTCTGTCATTGTTCTTTCTTCATTCTTTCTGTCATAATTCATTCTTCTTTCTTGGTGAAGGGCAGGTGTAATATTAAACAGATCAATATAAGATAGAGAAGGGTAACTGCACACTTTAGAAAAGTAGTATAGGCAAGAATATAAGCAAGGCATTATTTTCTTTTTCATATTGGACAGGGTGAAAGTCACCACAAATTTTTGCTTTGGAACTTTTAAAGTCTTTCTTATTATTTCTTTTTTGTAGGGGACGTCTAAAAGAATTAAAGTCTTAACGCGTCTAACACTTGTTGTTTCTGATCCTTCCCACTGTAATCTCTTGGTAAGTAAATCTTGTGTATTACTTTCCTGTTTTTAATTTCCTTTTCTTAATTATTGAAAAAAACTTTGGAAATCGTGTGGGAAGAACTTAGTGGATTTTATAGGACACTCAGCAGTGATTTCTCAGATCACATCTTTAGCAAACAATGTGATCACGAAGAGATGCAGACTTAAAAAACTTGATATAGCTTCTGTTGATCATTTGTCAATATGAGACAACAGTTCTGTTCCTCGGTTCTTTCCTTTGATTTCTGGACGTCTGTGCATAAATTACAGGACCACATGCAAGCCTTGTGTCTGTTTATGTTTTAGTGTTACATGATCAAAGCAAAAGGTGCAAGTGCCTTGCTAGGTGGGTGGGACAAGCCTCAAAATGAGAATGAGTGACTCACAGTGTAACTCATGACAGAGACCTACTATGTAATTGGATGATTACTGGCTTTCTTTTAGTACTTGAAAGAGAAAATGCAATTTGCTTCTCATTATTTTGGTCACAATCATTGTGCATAGCTTTGGCATCTTCCAGAATTCAAGGTAGGAATTGTTTCTTCCTTTTATAGAGATCAACATCTGCAAATATAAGGTTATATGACATCATAGCAGTATTTCCGAAGACTGAGAAGCTGTTCCATGTAAGTACAATCATTGAAACAATAATGCTCTTTCAATAACTTTTAATGCCTGGGGCTAGTTTGAGTACATGCTTTGTTTTGATTTTATTGCCCATTTTATGCAGACCTGCATGTCACGGGGCTGATTAAGCAACATAGACTGCTTGGTCACTTGATAGACTGAGAAGGCTGGGAGGGATTCCCGGAGGCTGCAAGACTTTGAGGCGACCAGTTAAAGTCTGAAATGTCTACCTGAAGAATGTACTTGTGCGCCCCTATGCGTTCCTTTGTGTGTCTGGTACTCTACTGAATACTCTCTAGTGAGGAGAGAAAACATCTTTCTTTTTTCTTTTAATTTATTTATATTATTTATTATATGTATTATTTAAAAATAGATAGATATATATACACACACACACTGTTAGGATGTAGAAAACCTCTGTCTTGAGCTTTAACTTCTCGTACTCTGACAGCTTCTCTGAAACACATTTGCTATCTTCTGTTGGCACTAATTGTTCCTGGTCTCTGAAATACCAGAGCAAGTGGGAGAATTTCAAAGCAGAACTGATGTGGTTCTGAGAGTTGCCTTCTTCCTTTTAGTCTTAGGTCATCTCTTGGAAGTTCATCCAGATGAATAGCTGATCTCTTTTTCTTTATTTTTTTTCCTTTTATTTCTTTATTTTAAATCCAACAAGGAGCAAGAGCTTACGATACAGTGCTAGTTCCAGTTGTCATGCCATCTTATGAACAGATAAAATAAAATTTCCAAAAGTGAACATGCCTGATTAAACATAATAGCCCTTGCTCCACTACCAGACTTGCTTTGTTTTGAGTGTTTTGGATGCACAAGCTAAATGAGAGAAGCTTCACTTCTGTGACTTCATGATTTGTTTGTTACCTTGCTTGCTGGGAAAACCACTGAGGCTGTAGAAAAGTAGAGCAGCTACTTGAAGGGCAAATGGTCATTTTCTCACATAATTTTTATCCTAGCTGTTCAGAGCAAACTTGCAGCTGAAAACGGCTTTCACAGAATTCTTAAGTCTTTGAAGGGGTTGTTGTATCAGTGTTACCAAGCAGATGCTGATGTCTGCAGCAGTGCTAGCACTCCGAGTGAGAGAAAATAGGCTGTGTGAATCGTTCTCAAAACCTCTGTTAGGACTAATTTGTGACCTCAGCCCAATGCTGTTGTTTCTCACGTTGGTTTATGTTGATGGGAATGCAGATAGTTTGAACAAAACACCCAATACTCTGTCACTTCTATGATTTTAGAAGAACAGGATGTTGCAAGTGGTTTTGACCATGAGCTGGTTTGGTCCATTTCTGCCATTTGACTGAAGAAGACATTTATTATTTAGAGGTGATACCTAAATACAGGGAAGTACAGTAATTCTCCAGCTGTTACTAACAGCATCAAGCATCATATTGTCCTCCAACTTTAATTCATAGCTGCTGTATCTTGAACAGACCCTTCCTATCAGAAAAAATCCTAGTGTTAAAACACCATCGGAGACGGAATGATCTCAGCTTGGCTTGTTGGGTTATAGGTGTTCATTATCTCTGTCTCTCTCATATTTTAATTAAATTGTTCTCAAATACTTGCTAACAACAGATATGAGTGGTCCGATTGCATGGAGCATCTGAAAGCAAGTTACGTTTTTGTCAGAATGTTTTTCTTGAAGAACCCAAAATTGTTACATCTGACCTGTTACAATCTCATAAATAATAACATTAACTCTGAGCTGGAAAAGTGGGTGGAAGCAGAGCATCCCACCTCTGTTAGCCTTGGCAGGCAGCAGGCAGGCATGGAGTTTAGAGCAGAGTGAAGAAGGTGCAGGGACACCAAAAGCAAACATTAATGTCTTTGGAGGAGTGCTAGAATTTACTTCGAAAGAGAGCTTGTCAGTATAAAACTAACAGTATATAACTTTAAATAGGTTAAAGCTACTTTCTATTGCTGCTGAGTACCTGTTTTGACACATTAAAATTATATCCTTCTGCTTTCTCTAAATTATTTCCCCTTTTTGAAAACTTGTCCAAGTACAAAGCAAGAGGCTGTAGGAGAAGGTGAACTTTAAAGAATCTTTCAGCAGAAGAATTTAAGCGTTAATTATAACAGTTACAGCTTAATGAAACTCATTTCTGAATGCTTTTATTTCCCTTGCAAGATTTTAGGACTCTTGGGGTTGTGAGAGAGGTGAATAGTTGTTAAACACTTTTGAGCTTCGGTCTCTGGCAGCAGTGTAAAATCTCACTTCTCAGGTGAGCTCAGTCAGTTTGACGTGTGTGTAAACAGGCACCTGAAGGGGGTAGTCAGCAGGGGCGTGCTGTGCTGTCTTGGGAGGAAAGGGCATGCTCTCATTTAAGGGTGGGTATTTTTTATTTTCAGCTGTGTCGTGAGCTCTGCAGTCAGCCATCCAGCTGTAGCAGTGTTTAAGCCAGCATTAACAGCCACTCATTTCTGCAGGTCACTGTCCACTCTGCTGGTGAAGCTGCTCGCTTAGCTGCGTGGCAGTTTGCTTCGAGGAACACACTTCTGGCTGCAAAGTAACCGGAGTTTTTTGCCAAGTTATTTTGCAGGCAGATCTGCTTTCCCGCTCCGATTCATCACTCAGCCACGTGGAGAGTTGTGCTGGCACAAAGAGGATGGCTGTGCCCTAGGCAGGCCGGTGCAGATAGCGGCTGTTGGAGCTTCTGGACAGCGTGTGAGGAAGGGAGCAGGACTGTTGATGAGACCTGCTTCATCCCTTCCGTGCTGGCAGCACTTGGAGCTGGAGAGGAAACCCAAGCATGTCTCTTGGAAACCACATGAAGTGAAAGGCTTCATCCTTACATGTTCCCATTCAGGGCAGATTTGTATTTTTGTCTTTTTTCCAAGCTTCTAGGTTTTCTAACTCTCTCTGGAGAGCTGTGTCAATCTCATAGGGATATCAACAAGGGCACTGGCACAAGTGCCATTACACATGGAGTTTCGGCATATACCTCAGGCTTTTATGATCAAGGCTCAAGGATCTTTCGTTGTAAAGGATAAAGCCTTCCAGGGTGGCTCTTGCACCAAAATTACGAAGTTATTTTAGAACTGGCTGTTAGTAACTCAACGTTACCTCGAGAGCATCATCTTTCTCACTAACAATTTGGCACTTGGATTATTCTCCGTAGAACAGGATTTTTCATGTTTTTCTAAAAAAAAATACATGACCATTGGAGATGTGCTCTAATTTTAGCGTGACCCAAAACCACTGTGTGCCCTCTTCTCATGAGCCAGGGAAGATTTTTTTTGTGACTGTGGCAGTGATGTGTACTGAAAGATATGCTCAAATTCTCAAAATAATTCATATCCTCAGGGGTATGAGGAAGCTGTATTCGCCAAGATAATTGTAGAACATGCTTCTCCTTTAAGTCTCCCAAGAGGATTGTTTTGGGCTGCAACAAGAATGCCCACTCCATGCCAGTAATAAGGTCTGTGCCTGTTGCTTTTCAAAAATTTTGCTTTTTAAGATTTCTGACTGTTTTAATTGTATGAGATAGATCTACCTGCTGTTTGTAAGCAATTAGCAAATCACCAGTATCTAAAAAACTTGCTTCTGCAAGTCTGAGGATGTAGTGCAAAGCCAAATTTCAGCGTTCACTTCTTAAAACGTTTGCCAAAGCTTTCTTCAGGCCATCCAGGCAATGGTGAATTTGTGTATTCCTGCCTGCATGGAGTTTCCCAGCAGATGGGGCTCTTGCCTGCAGTGTGGCCAGGCAGGTGCTGGGCTTTGCAAGTACTGCATAGCATTTTCTGTGTGAAGTTTTTGCACTTCGGATCCTTTCAGCAGACACAGTAACCTTAACTTGCCTGTGTGTGTGACTTGTCCAGGAGCCAAAGCTAGGCTGAACACTGGAGTGTTTGGAGAAGTCTGCTCTCCAACTTTCCATGCCGCACAGGAATTCCTCCTTATGGGGAGGGAAGTGTGGCTCTTAATTTTGTTTTTCCGTGGTGGTGTTTTTCTGAAATGTTCTTGTCACTGGAATCCTGTAGATATCCTGGCATTTGGATCACTCCCTTTCCCACTGTCCTTAATTTGCAAAATGGAGTTTTCCAGTGTTTCTGGAGCTGATTAGGAAGACTTGTTTTCTCATTGAATACGGCAACATGAATGTTTCTGATGTGTATTCTTGCTTTTCTTAATTTTCAGCATTCTCTCTTCCTGAATTTCCTATGGCCTCGCTGACATCTTTTCTAGGGCGTGATTCAGAGCTATTTGCTCTGTGCATGTTCCCGTTAAGCACCTCTGTCTAGGTGGTAGTTTGTACTCCATGTAAGAAAAGGATTAAAACTGGCTGTAGCTGGGGTAAACCTACACATGCAAGTCTTATTTGGCGCAATAGATTCCAACTGCGTCCTGCCTAACAGAGTTGATGAAGGTAGGGCATGAGCATAAAGTTTAGACTGAATGGCCTGGCAGAGACGCTTTAACATCAAAAACCTTGTGGTTTGCTGGATCTGTGAATTGCCTGCGTGTGTGCTGTGGCTTTCTTGTCTAGCAAGGAGTGCTGTCAACAGCTAAGAAATGTTCCTGAAGCTGGGCCTCTGCTCTCATCTCCATCCAAATTTCACGTGAACAGACTGGTAGAGGAACCTACCAGTCTGCAACTGCACCGTGGCCCAGCCCTGGGACTCCCCGCAACTCCCACCAGTTCCATGACGGTGCGAGGAGGGACGAATGGTTGGCGCCTGGCCCAGGCGTATTTGGAGCAGTTGCTGGCAGGTTTCTGACAGCAGAGAGTTCCCCTACGCGTAGAAAATTCCTTTTCAACATCTTCAGCCTATTTTATCTTCTTTGTTACAACACTGCTCACAGACGTTAATCTGGCCCTGTGTAATCATCTTTGCAGGCTAGGCATACATAAAATTCCTGCGTGTCTTGTGTGCATGAGATTATATGTAAATCAAGGGCTCCTTTTTATGTGCACTTAATTTTCTCTGTATGTCAGAGATTTCTCTGTATGTCAGAGATTCCCTGTCCTTTGTTCATCCCTTCATTCTTTTAATACAGGCTGTAAATTGTGATGTGGATTCAAAGCTAAGCTTTTAAACTATGACCTCCAGTGCCGTCTTGAGATTTCTCCAGACGTGTGGCTTTCAGGAAGGGCTGCACATTCCCCACCCAGCCAGGAAAGTGAGGCCCCGTGGGCAGGCCTCTGGTACTGGGCACATGGCACCACCAGTCACTGTCTGACATTCTGCTTCTGTTTTACTCTCTTCTTGATTGCTTCTGGTACAATTACTTAATCCATAAAATAAATGGTTGCCACACTGAAATTAGAGAGTGATGGGGTAACGAGCAGTTCCCGGGCTGCTCCTTTTGTAAACAGGAGTTGTCATTGATTAGCTGTGAGTTCTTTGCCAAAAGCCAGCATTGCTTCTGCATGTCTTATGTCAGATAAAAACAAAGCAGTGAGTCTTGCCTTTGGGTTGGTCATTATTTTATTGGAAAAGTAGGTCTGTAAGTGAGATGAGGCTTGGATTTTAAGCCTGAAATGCTCAAGCTGTGCACATGTAGCCCTGCTGTTTTATTGGCATACCTGCAAGGCATAGTACCTCTTCATTGTAAAACGGAGCTCACCCTGGAGAGACATTTGTTGCAGTAAGAAATGAAGGAGAATATCAGTGCAGCTAAAACCGGTTATGCATTTTTTGGCATATCTAATAATCTGTTCCTATTTCTTTGCTGTAGATTGCTTGCACAACTCTAGACGTGGATCTGGTATGCATAAATGTAACAGAAAAGCTTCCATTCTACTTCAGAAGACCCCCTGTGAATATGGTAAATTTACATCTAGATTGTTTTCTTGCTGTTAAATTCTGTACTTAATGTCAGTCTGATTTGGATACCCTACCATTTCCCTCCCACCATTCCCATCCAAGTGGTTCTTTTATTTTCTTGCATAATACAAAGTGTTGTTTTAGATGTCCTTCACTTCAAGGCCTCCACTGTAGCGTTTAGTACACAGCGATGTGTGTTCTTTCTTTCTCTCCTTCCTCTCCCCCACTTAAAGCAGAAGTGGTGTTCCCAAGGAATGGAAGCGGAGCCTTAAGGCCACTGCTATGCTAAGCAGTGAGATGTGGTGTCATTGCTGACTGAGCTTCTTCCCAGACCAGAAGTGGTGCAGCTGTGTCACAATAGATGCAGCCCTGTGATTTAAAGGACAGGAGACTGTGAATGACAGTGTTAATTTGGGGAAAAGAATGTCGTGCTAATTATTTGGAGAACAACTGTATTGAATCCATACTTAGACAAAGGATCTTGGCAAATGAACCAAATGTGGAATTGCTAAATATCTACTGTGGGACACAAGGTGACTATCAGCATGGATCAAACATTTTGTTAATACAATTCTGCCTACTGTTGGTCATTTACCAGAAAGCTTGATCTGAACATGTTCTTAGGCAAACTTTCTTGTTTTCCTCTGAGTATATGTCAAGGTTCATTCCACATGGGTGTTCTTGGCTGATGTCGTTAGTGCTTAAAAATTTAAATTTGGAATTGGCTAGAAACCCTGCTTCCTCTTCCACAGAAAGTTTAACCCAGAATAAAAATTTAAAAATGACTAGAATTAATCTTGAAACATATTGGAACTGGCACAAACTGGAACACAGGAGGTTCCACTGAAATTTGAGAAGAAACTTCTCAGTGAGGGTGACAGAGCACTGGACCAGGCTGCCCAGAGAGGTTGTGGAGTCTCCTTCTCTGCAGACATTCAAAACCCGCCTGGACGCCTTCCTGTGCAACCTCATCTGGGTGTTCCTGCTCTGGCAGGGGGATTGGACTGGATGAGCTTTTGAGGTCCCTTCCAATCCCTAACGTTCTGTGATTCTGTGGAAGTAATACCTTGCTATTTACTACAGACGGAATTTCAACATTCCACTTGGAACTACAGTTTTGTATGAAATGTTGTTTGAAAGTACTCTAGCTGCCTAGAACTCCAGCAGCTGATCCAGGTGAGCAGCTGGGTGGCTCTTGGAGCGCTGTGTTTGGAGACACTTTCCTTACAAGCTACTTCCAGCTGCAAGGCAGGCTGTCTGTCAGACTGGTTTTGTGCATCCTGAGGCAGTCAGTTTTGGTGGTTGTAATGCCAGACAGACATTCTGGCCGGCAGCTGAAGTGATGGGGATGAGGTTAAAACTCTGCCTGACTGGAAATTGGTGCATTGCCATCACCTGATTTGGTTTTGATAAATTCGAGCTTCTCCTCTTGTTTGCAGATGTTGGATCAGCTCTGTAAAACATCTCATGTGCACACAGCTGCTGTTGTGCTTGCATGCAGAGGTCATGCATGGATGGGAGCTGGATTAATTCCATCTGTGTTCAGTTACTGGACTCTCTTAGAGTATTAAAAGTGAAGCATTTTTTTCATAATATGAGTATAAAGTGTAGAGTAACATTTCAGACGAATGCAGTATATGGAACAAAACTCCTAGCTTTGAATTGTCATGTGCACACAGCTGCTGTTGTGCTTGCATGCAGAGGTCATGCATGGATGGGAGCTGGATTAATTCCATCTGTGTTCAGTTACTGGACTCTCTTAGAGTATTAAAAGTGAAGCATTTTTTTCATAATATGAGTATAAAGTGTAGAGTAACATTTCAGACGAATGCAGTATATGGAACAAAACTCCTAGCTTTGAATTGTCTTTATCGCTCGTAGAGTAACATTTCAGACAAATGCAGCATATGGAACAAAACTCCTAGCTTTGAATTGTCTTTATCGCTAACCCACTGTATCCTGTAGCAAGTTGCTTCACCTTTCTCTGCGTGTTTGCAAAAAACAAGAGTACTAGGCTTTTGGTGAGGTACTTCTAGATAGCAAAGGATTTTAAAACAGCTGAAAAATATAATTAGTGTTACTCTTTGGAATCTCTCTTGTAACTCACTGTTATTTGACATTGTCACAAAGACCAGAGTATGCTGTGAGACAGGAGAGAAGGGTCCTCATTGGGGCTCGTAGGCAAGGACATATTCCTCATCTGCAAGGTGTGGGAAGTGGTGGTCTTCCTTAGAGCAAGGTGTGTGGCTAGAGGAGGAGGTTCCTCAAAATGTCAAGACTTGTTTCCGACCAGCAGTGGTTACCTGTTCTTTCTTTGTTAAACCTCACTTCTCTGTGATCCCAAGATTCAAGTACACATATCTGGTGTACAGCGAAACCTTCTTCCCCACCCCTTTCGTGCTATACTGTGCTCTTGCTGGAACAATTCCACCTTAATTTTTTCATATATAACACAGTTAAACCGAGAATAAGCTACATCAATAATAGACAGCAGTAGTTAGATTGTTATGCTTCTCTCCTTTTGATTTTTGATCACTCTCTTTCATGTGAAGGCAATAGATCGAGGCATTTACTTTGAACTTCTTTACACGCCTGCCATCAAAGACTCCACAATGAGAAGATACACAATTTCAAATGCCATCAGCCTGATGCAGATCTGCAAAGGAAAGGTAAGCTCTCAAAGTGAAAGCAAGCTCATTTATTCAGTTCAAATTCTTCTGGAGCTGTACAGACTGAGCCATTTTAAATGAGTTTGTTGCTGGGGTTTCTGAAGCTGTGACTGAATCTTTGCCTACTAATATAAGGACACAATTATTCTAGCTCCAGATACTTCCAGCCATGCACCACTGCATGCCTTCTTCTTAAGCTGTCAAACTGTTAGATTATTTTTTTTACTTATTTATTTATTTGTAGAACAAGCTGTCTGTTATTATGGTATGCAATACCCAAAACAAAAGGGGGAGGGGGAAAAAAGGTGCCAGAGATCTAGGGTTTGCACTAGAACTGAAATCTGCACATCTCTGAAATCCCCCATCTCGTATTTCTGGTTGACCAAAAGTTCATTTTTTGATAGTATACCTTGAAAATGGGGTGTAGAAAATAAGAAGAAAAAGGAGAAATCTTGTTCTGTTAACCAGTTAGTGAATTCCCAGTGTACACAACAGACCCAACAGCCAACTGGCTGTCAGCCAGGGCTTTGCTGCGGTCAGATCAACTGCATTCTTCCCTGCTACTGAAATCCAAGGAAGAAGTAATGCAGCTGAGATGCCTGTAATCTATTGCTTTCATGCCTTACCTCCTCCCAGGCTATGCTGCCTGTCATGCTGTGTCCTCTCAGGCCATGGTTGTTTGGGTTTTTTTAAGAGGAAAGCATATCATAATACATAACCAAGTTAAAGAGACGATAGCTCCCACCGCCTTTATTGAAAGTGGCCTTTGCCACAGTTAGCTAGTCCAGAGAAGCCAACATTGGCATTGCCCTGCAGCTCTAGTCTGAAGTGGGATAAACAGCTTGGAACGCCAATGTTAGAAGCAGATAAGTGTTACCTCAGCTCCCCTCAGGCATGGCAGCCGATTTCATAGGACAGCAGAATGGGTCAAACAGTTTAATTCCCTTGGTGCTACAGGAGAAACTGCCTATTTCTACAGCCTTCCTTGAGAAGCCCAGCTCTGGGAGCTAATTGCACAAAACACTGACTTGGAGATGAGGTACACACACAGAACCCCTTTCCTTTGGGATTCCTCTTTGAGGGGTGTTTCCTCTACACAGTTAAAGATGTGCTTCTTATGCAACTGTTGTTTGTAGAGCATCAGTTGAGTTTGTGTCACAGAGCAAGTGAGAGGTTCAGGTGCTTGATTGATGCACAGTGCCCTTTCTTTATACATCTGCCCTCCATCATCAGTGCCTGGAAGGTAAATCAGCAGGAGCTGGGTTTGACAAGTTGTGAGGCTCTGGAAGAGACAGGAGAGGACTGCTAGCTTGTCTTTATTTTTTTTGCCTCCAGGCTCAGTACCTGGTGGGCCAGCAGAGATGGTTATTAGCCGTTACTGACACATTGTCTCCATCACTTATGTAAAGACCTGTTTTTAACGAGACATGTATGGCTGATCCATAGGCTGCTTGCATTAGCACCTGGCTTGCAGCTCTCACCTTCTGTAAACCTATAGTTGCTGAACCTGTAGCAGCTTTTGGATCCCTTTGTTCTTCCTCTGTTGTAGTAAGGCAGAGAAACTTCTAGAAATTTACTTGTATCCTCAGAGCTGCCATTGGAGGAGCATGGAGTTCTGAAAACATGTTTAAAAGCTCAAGGAATGAGGGACGGACTCACCTGCCTTGCCAGACAAAAGATGTGCATGGCCACAGTCCCTCACCTCCTGTGTTTTGGTTCCTGAGTGTGGGTGCTGTGCCTGGAGCAGTGCACTTAACAGCTGCTGTCTCCTCTACCTGGGGAGATAATGTTTTGCCTTTGAGTTCTTCCCTTTAGCCCTTCCCTTGGATTTGCCTTTGCCTGCCTTTCCTTCACTCGCTCGCAGTGCTCTTCTTGTCTGCTGTTGTCTCCTCCTCCTGTCTTCCCCATCCCCTAACTGGAAGCCAGCTGCCTTTGAACCAGGCAGAGCACATCTCCGATGCACAGCAGTGAGACACAATCCCACACTGGTTCAAGATGGCTCACACAGCTGCTCTGGGAGCTGCTCCGAGCCTGGGAGACAGCTGCTGGTTGCTACAGCTCAGAGCAGGAGAGTCAGATTTTCACAGCAAACTCTTGCAGTCAGCACCACTGAAGCTCAAAAGCACCCTTGGGATCTGTAGTGCAGTCATTTTAAAGGTGAACTGCGCAGAAAGAAATGTCCCAGGCCCCATCATAATGTGTGTTGTTAAGTCACTTTGCATGTAATGCTTCTGTTTTTAGCTTTCCTTATGCTGAGCCAGAGTTGTCTGTCTCATCCTTTCCTGCTCAGCACACAAGGAAACCTTGAGCATAGTATGAGCATGCACTCATTTCCATGCAGATAGCTCCCTTGCATGTTGAGTTCCAGCTGTGCACCGAGCGTTTTCTGCCAGCATCTGCTCTGCTCTTTGTGCTGGGGAGGTGGCAGGACAAGCAAAGCATCGTGGGGAACACATCAAAAGCCCCACCTTGTAACTGGAGGTGGTGCGATGTGTTGGTGGTACTGACGTCAGAGAGGGAAAGTTTTTCACTGTCTCAGAACAATTCTCATTCCCACCCACTCAAACAGGAATTCCCAAAGCCTTTTATTCAGCATAATAAAAGGTGCAAGGAATTTTTTGCTGCTGCAAAGTTTCCACCTGTGCAAAACAGGCTCCCCCTGGGTGAGCATCCTTGGAGGTTTAATATCAGAAGAGCACTGGAAGTTGAGCTGTGCTGTCTGCCAGCCCCTGAGCAGTCTCATACCTGTTCTGCAGAAACCCTTTGGGAGGGAAGGGAGATGGGTGTCTCTTTCCTAAGTCCATTTCTGTTACTGCTTAGGCCAAGTTGTCATCTGTGTGGGGCCTCTTTCAGCTAGTGTAAATAAAGGGGGCACTTCTTCACACAGTGTGTGCAACTCTGCATTTCTTCTTTACCCTTAAGGTCCCTTTAAAGTTCACTGAGAGATACAGGCTGATAGGTGCTTGCTTGATGCCATCACTGACATTTTTACTGCTTAGCCTATCCCTCTAGAAAGCGCAGCGCTTATTCAACTCGCACCTATCGGAGAGGTTTGTGACTCCATGGAAGGGTCTGACCCTATGCCCCGCTTTCTGTAGGGGGCAAGGAGATAACCTGGGTTTATTCATGTCCCCAGATTAAGATCCACACACATGAGCTCCCCTCATATGAGGGCATCAGATACTCTGCTGGTTAGCTGGGCTCTGAGCCTGAGCTTAGCTAATGCTCATAAAGTCTTTGCTGCTTGCTGGCTTTTTTCATGTCTTGATGCTGTCTGACAGATGAGTGTTTGTTCTCTTTTGTTTTCCAGAACATTGTGATATCTAGTGCAGCTGAAAGGGTAAGTCCCAGATTTTTGTTGAAGCCAGAACCATTTCAGTATTTCTCTGTGGCTGAAAATACAGCTTTAATTAATATATTAAAGTTATACAAATTGCAAATTTAAATATTATTACCATCTTGTGGGGTTTTTTAAAAATCAGTCTGTTTTAACAGAGAATTGTATTGTGGGTTGTGGGGTTTGGG